GGGGGGGGGGATATAAGCATTTAATAAATAAACAGAAAGAAGTAACATATATGCATGTATATGTATGTATATGTATATGTGTGTGTGTGTGTAAGTCCTTCCTATTTTAACTGGCAAGGTTGTTTCCAATCTTTCCAATCTTTCTTTGACTGGTATGTGACGTTACTCCTTTCTGTTTATTTATTAAATGTTTATATTTCTCCCCCCCCGTCCTCTCTCTCTCTCTCTGTGTAATATATAATAATAATATTTTTTAAAGTTATGTATAACAAATTTTAAGGTACTTCCTCATAAATTGACCATCAAGACATCTGGGCTGCTTCCAGAATAAAATAAGGGTAGCCTGGCGTGCTGGACTGGGAGATCAAGTTCCAAGTCCTCACTGAGTCACGAAAGTCCCTGCAAAACCTTGGGCCTGCCTTTCGTTCTGAAACTGCCCTACCTCACAGGATCGTTATGATGATAAAGCGGATAAGAGGACATCCACGAAGACCTCAGCAAGGTCTGCCCTTTGAGCTTATTGGAGGAATGGCCAGATAAAAGTGACACAAAATACAGTAATTAAAACCATACAGCTATAAACAGCCAATTACTGAGATGAGGAGGAGAATTAGGGTAGGAAATTACCTCTCTGTGGCTGCTGGAAGAGCTGTTAAATCACCCCAATAATTCTGGGGGTGCAGAAATAAGTGACTCACCAGCTGCTTTTCACTATGAGTAGCAGTAGTATAGGGTGAAGTGCAACCACCAACCTCTCTTTTATTTAACACTGAGGAAACTGTTGCATAATAAAACTTGACAGAGAAATTGGGTGGCAGAGAAAGAAGACAAAGAGGGAAGGAGAATCTGCTGTACCATCTTGAACAACTGCACTCACAACAGGTTGGCTAATAACCCACAATGGTTGGCTAATAACCCACAGGCCCAGATGAAAAAAGGACTTAAGTGTGGCCATCCAGATTTTGCCAGATGGCTGTTCCCATCATCTCTGGCCAGCACAACCAGTTGTGAGGAGTGTTTGGAGCTGCAATCTGAGAAGATTCGGAGGGGGTCACGTTGTGCCCGCCCTGGTCAGTCACAGAAGACTTGATTGCTACACACTTTTATAACTGTGAGTAATTTTCATTGTGTTGTGCATGAGACTATCACTGGACCGGAGAATAATTCACACACTACAGATTTCCACCCTGTGCTGAGAATAATTCTTCCTAATTTTCTACATCCTAAGTCCCACTGCACTTACTGTAATTTTAATTTGTCTCTGCAGGGACAGTTTTGATTTTGATTTTACTTTGTATACCATCCCATGAGCACTTGTTCTTGGATGATGGAAAAATGGCACAAACTCATGGCTAGGGAGTGAATTCCAGGCCCCAGGGTAATGTGAGCTATTGATCCAATTGCCGTTTTCAGTGGGCCACGTGAGGTGGTCCATCTGAGACAATTTCATGTTTGTAAACCATCCATCATGCATGATGAGAAAACCCCATCAGCAGTGTTTGAGCTGATGAACAGAGTGTAAGCATATTATCCAGTTAAATCCAACTTTTGACGATGTATCATATGATCTTTAGAGAATTAATAGAGTTGATTAAATTTGCAAACCAGTAAAAAGGGGCCTGCATAAAAAAAAGAGGGGGGGCTGTGATTTGCTGAGCTTTGAAAAAGTTATTTTTTTGGACAAGAGTGCCAAGAGGGTTCCAGCTGGCATTGCTACGTGGCCAAGTTAGCTGAGGATTTGTGGTTGAAAACAAGTAATGAATAACTTCCCCTAGCTCTGCCCTAATGTACATCAAACTGGGTTAGATTCCAGCATAATTACATGTAGAATACAATCCATTGAAAACAGGAGGCAAAACAAATGTTGATTGGTTTACTCAAGTGCTTTTGATTTCAAGAGCTCTACTGTATGACTGCTAAGTTTGCATACAATGCACTGAATTCCAGCAGTCATGCTGGATGGGGGATTCTGGGAGCTGTAGTTTTTAAAAAGGTAAATGTTCCTTCCTCTGGTTAGTAGACAATGCCTATTCTTTTGCAGGAGGTAACCTTGAAAGAGGCATTTTCCCGCCCCCCTGAACAAGGAGGAATGGTCCTTTTAATTAGGTCCTCACTAAAGTGTAATGATTTGTGTTCTTTAGACTACAACTCCCAGAATGTTGAATTGTAAACCCAACAATCTAACCAGTCCATCGATTAGAAACTGCGATCTTAGCAAGGCATCACTGACATAATGCAGCAAGCCACAGTTGTAGGGTGCTGCCAAGAGAGGCTGAAAAAGAGAAGAAAATAACAAGCTATGTCATTCCCTAGTTAAAATGTTATCCCTGCTGTGCCATTGCTACATCGCCATCAGCGAGCCGCTCTCTTCCAGCCTCTCGGTGTGCAACCTGACCTAGTTTATTGAACCAACAAAATGACAACAATCAAGATTAGATACATAAAGCCATTGGAATACTCAAGGAAGTGGAGCAGCAATACCATAATGAAATACACATGCCAGTTCCCATTACTATCCCTTGAGGTTAAGCATTCAAGTTCAGAAATGTTCCTTTTTTCTTGGACTGCAACTCCCAGAATCTTTAGGTAGTAAGAGGCATTTTGGGAGTTGCAGTTGAAAAAAAGTTTAAAAAGTTTTGCTACATCTAGCTAAACTTTTCACTTTTTGTGATTGCAAATCCTAAAATTGCATCCAGAAGGTTTCCCGGAGACTGTACGGGCTCCCCTCCCCCTTTAAAACAAAAGAGGCTTCGTCTTGCAAATGAACACGTTGGCTTCCTTCCCAGTTCCAGAAGGGAGATGAGGGACGAAGGGACGCCTGGACATTCCAATCTTAACAGGCTTCCTTTTTCGAGCTGTGGCAGCAACACATGACCAGCAAAAGAATCCGAGCCATCTGGAAGCACGACAGTGGGCATCTTAGCCAGCTTGGTGCATGTGATGAAATGCAGCAGGGAGCATGCAGAGAACCTCCCGAGCACTGCAAACGAAGAGGACACCTGAAATGTGCTCTTCATTTCAGGTCTGTGCCCTGAGCCAAGCCGGTCAGAGAAAACTGACCTCTGCTTCCTGGTCAGTGCATTTTAAGAACAGCTTCCTCCATCTGGATCTGAGCACACCACTGCCATGAAACCCTGCGTTCAGACTTTTTCAAGCACGAAGGGAAATGGGAACTCAAGGGTACGGTAAGAGTATCTGCTCCCCATTTCCCCAAACAGTGGGGAATTGGGGTGTGTGTGTCACTTTAATAAGGTTCCTTGGCAATAAACAAGGATGGGAGATTTCATTTCCCCAAACAGTGGGGAATTGGGGGGTGTCACTTTAATAAGATTCCTTGGCAATAAACAAGGATGGGAGATTGGAATAAAAGTGCTTTTAAAAAGTACATTATTTTTCTGTGTATAAGACACCCCCCACTTTTCTAACCCAAAATTAAGAAATCTAAGTGGGACTTAGCAAATGTGGGGTAAAAAGGATAAAAGTGCTGCAGGATGGCTTTGATCCCTGCTTTCTCCCTTCATGCTAAGCTCGGCTTGGCTTAGCAAAAGGAAGGGGAAAGGGATCAAAGCAATTCCATGACTGCACAATCATTTTGATCCCTTTCCCACTTATACAGCTACAGAATTGCATTGACCCTTTCCCCCCTCCTTTTGCTAAGCCCCATGGGACTTAGCAAGCAGAGGGGAAAGCAGGGATCAAAGCCCTGCAGGATCACTTTGATCCCTGCTTTCCCCTCCACTTGTTTTTTTCTCTTCAGATTACTTTCGTGTATAAGACGACCCTCAATTTTTAGTCTAAAGATTTTAGACAAAAGTATAGTCTTATACACAGAAAAATATGGTAACCTGAAGCAAAGAATGGGAAAACTGTGGTTTGGGTCAACTCCTTCCCAGATCTTCTGGCATACATGGCCAAGCAAGGAAGAGGATTTTTTTGGTTCCAAAACAGAACTTTTCCAAGTTGTGGCCAGCAGGTTTTGAAGACTTTTTTAGTGGGACAGGAACTCTATAGAGGCCCGGTACCCATTTTTCGCCCTTGGTCCCAGACAGCTCAGCAACGTAAGCCTCTGCTCCACCCCTCTGCTCTGAAGGTACTTTCACACCATAATAAAAAAGCTAATTGTTTCATGAGTCATTAGTTAATACCAAGTTCTCTGGACATGAAGACACATGCTAATTATCCTCCTTTGCCACAGGCTGCAGAAAGAGAGACATGGCTCCTTACACCTTGGTTAAGATTTCCAGAGTGAAAGACCAGACAGCAACAACGTCGGTCTCAACTGGTCTGAAATGCTATACTTAAAAGCTTGAAAAAGTTATTCTTTTTTTTTTCTCCTGTTGTTTTACTACAACTCTGAAAACTATCCAGCCCGTATGGGCTATGCAATGCCCCCCGGGGAATTCTGTAAACTGTAATCCCAGACTGTTTCCTATTTCCAAATGCTAGCCAAGACTGCCCTTTCTGTTAGATGATTTCTGGCTAATGAGTGGTGGGCACAGCCAGGAGTAAAAAAGCCAAATTAAAAGACACCATACTTTACTTAAAACTTTGACTGCCGCTAACTGAACTTCGGTAGAGGTCTTAACCTCTCAGAATGAGAAGGTGTCAGGTAAACATTAGAGAGGTATTCTGGGAAAGGGGGTGTTGCTATCGAGGGAAGTCCCGTGGCCTGCGGTTTGGCCGAGGGACAGAAGTTCCCCACCCTCTTCTGGAGGGTTATGATCCATCCCTATGGAAGACAGGATGCAGAATGATAGCAGTAATGGCATAAAGCTTGGAAAGAGTGATTTGAATCCAATTAGTTATCCAGTTAGAGTAGGCCCACTATATGAATGGGATTTACTTAAGTGTTTATCAAGTAACTGATTTAATGAGTGTACTCTAGATGAGACGGCACATTGACTTTAGGCCAATACAGTGGTGTCTCGCTTAACAATTGCCCCGCATTATGATGAATCCGCTTTACGATGATCTTTTTGCGGATTATCGTTGTTAATCGAGGCACCACTGTACTAGGATACTCGGATGAAAAGTACACTGTATCAATGCGAGCATGCCAAGGCCACTCACTTCACATTACTCCAAGCAAAGACAGTATTATTTAAGATTAGCCGTCTAGCAAAGAACTCTAAGGTGCTCTGTCACAGCTCACGTTGTCTGAGATCAGGGGAAGCCACACACTTTTTTTTTTTTGCTAGCTTTTGTTTTAATTTTAATTTGTCTCAAACTTTTTTAAACAGGAGTGACTGAATAAAAACACAGTTTGAGTCCTGTTGCCCAGGGAATGCAAGAAGAACGGTGGTCCCTCCGCCAACCAGGTCGAAACCCCCAGTAGGAAATGATAAATAGTTTTGATGCAGTCCAGGAATATTACATCGTTTAGGGCCATCCCCCCCCCAACGGGAAGGAATTTATGTGTATTTCTTGATTTCATCGTACAAGACAAGGACAAAAGCGCCCCCCATTCCTCGGAGGACGTTGGACCAGGCGCCCTTGAAGAAGGCCTTCCCACCTTCGTCCCGGGCAATCTTCCGCCAGCAGTCAATTGTGCCGGAGTACATGATGTCAGCTGCAGGGGAGGAAAGAGGAAAGACAATTGGCAAAAACAGCACATGGTTCTTTGGAGGCCTGCAAACAATTAACTGCAGCCAGATTGCTGACTGGGGCGAGCTGCAGGGATCACATCACCTCCCTGTTCCAGCAGCTCCACCAGCTGCCAATCTTTTTCAGGGCACAATTCAAACTGCTGGTTCTAAAAGCTCCTAAAAGCTCTAAATCACTGGTTCTTAACCTTGGGTTACTCAGGAGTTTTGGACTGCAACTCCCAGAAGCCTTCACCACCAGCTGTGCTGGCTGGGGTTTCTGGGAGTTGCAGTTCAAAAACATCCGAGTAACAAAGGTTCAGAACCACTGCTCTAAATGACTTGAGGCCAGGCTATCTCAAAGACTATGTCTCCCTTTACGAGCCTGCCTGGGAGTTCAAAGCATCAGGAGAGGCTTTTCTCTCAGTCCCGCCACCCTCACAAGCATGCTTGGTGGGGACGCGAGAGAGGGCCTTCTCTGTCGCTGCACCCAGACTTTGGAACTCCCTCCCACAGGACGCCAGGCTGGCTCTGTCTTTGCTGCCCTTCTGCAAGCAGGCACAAAAGACCTTTCTCTTCAAGCAGGATTTTTTTCTTACTGACTGACCATCTAAGGGAGGTTTTAAAACAGGATGGCTTGTGTTTTTATTGCTTTTAAATATGCTTTGTTAAAAGAGCCTCGTGGTGCGGTGGTTAAACTGCTGCATTGCAGCCAAAACTGTGGTCACAACCTGGGTAGCCAGTTGACTCAGCCTTCTATCCTTCCGAGGTTGGTAAAATGAGTACTTGGCTCACGGGGGGGGGAGGGGGCAATGTGTAGCCTGCATAATTAACTTGTGAACCGCCCGGAGAGTGTTTTAAGCATTATGGGTTGGTATATAAGCAGCACGCTTTGCTTTGCTTTATTAATGCTTTTACCTAGCATTTTTAATATCATGTTTATTTAATTCTTTTTAATATTTGAATAATTTACTGTTTTTAGCTTTTAATACTGTGGTTTTAATCATATAAGCCACTATGGATTCTTTTTTTAAGGGGAAAGAAAGACAGGGTAGAATTATTATAAATAGAAATACTACTATTATTACTGCTACTAACGTTCTGTTCTATTATATTTTGCACTAGCATGTATGGTGTTTTCAGGCAGCATAGGCTGATGACTCCAATTTCATGGGGGCAGTGGATCTGTCTCAGGTTTCACTCTCAAACTTACAGCAGCTGTCCAAGGTTCTGAACCATTCCCCCCTCCCAAGAAGGTTCTGCATCTTGGCTAGCTCATGAAGTTCCAACTAATTCCTGGAGTGACTGAAGTCATCAATCAGGCTTCACTGCTTTCAGGGCACAAAAAATGGGTCCTTTCCTAATAAAACTTCCAATCTAAAATTCAAAACAAAGGGAATCAAGGAAAATAATTTTTAAAAATACCATTCACTTCTTCTTTAGACCTGTGTCAGGATATGGAGCGGGGAATATGTCTGTTCAAACTGGAGATTCCACTCAACAGAACATAAGACTTTGCATAGATCATTTCGTAATAGATTTAGGGGGGAGGTTAATTAACCTTCCAGGTAAGCAAACATTTTTTCTACAGAGTAATGGACAAATACAAAGTTAAACAGGACGGCAGCCTTAAAATGACCAAAGGGGCAGGTTTATTCTAGGTCAGGTGTGGGCAAAGCTTCCCCTTCCACATGTTATTAGGACTGCCATGCCTATAATCCCTCACCATCGGCTATTCTAATCACAACCGATGGGAGCTGTAGTCCAAAATCATCGGGAGAGCCACAGTTCTTGCTTTGGCAGTGGGCTGGACTAGATGACCCTTGAGCATGATAATGCTATGATTCTATAAATCCAGCTTACGGCTGACAATGCATAAGGTCTTGCACTTCTCCTTATAAGTTGTCCTACTGGATTCTTTTTCCATGTATGAGTCTTACAGCCAATATCCTGGTTGTTTTTTCTAAGATGGCTCCAATGCTCTAAAATGGCTCCATCAGCCAACAGGTGGTCCAGTTTATGCATCCCATTTATACAGAACCCACAAAGGGCAACTGGAAGGCTATTAGGTCTAGTTCATTTTGCCTAAATCAGTTTATCTGTCCTTGAGGAATCTCAGCTTTCCTCTTGGCATTTAGCCTGGAACTGAGAATTTGCTGCCCTCTAAATGTTGCTGGATCATTCCCAAAATATACCAATGCCGTTTGGGGTTGATGGTTTCTCCATGCCAGACTGAAGGTTTAACTCTGTTATAAGCTGAATCAGCTCCGAGTACAAGAGATTCCACTTTCAACAAACCTGACCTTGGGTTGGATTCAAGATCTGCAAGTATTCGAAAGGCTAACCCAAGGAAAAGATGGAGCATACAGTCATGCCCTGCTGGACAATTACCCCATTTAACAACGAATCCGCTTAACGCTGAAGTTTTTGTGATCACAAAGGGATGTTTAGATTGGTTTTTTTCACTTCACGTTGATCGGTTCCCTGTTTTGGGAACAGATTTTTCGCTTTACGATGATTAGCAAACAGCTGATCGTCAGGTTTCAAAATGGCCGCCGGCTTTCAAAATGGCCCCCTGCTGTTTTCTAGGACAGATTCCTCACTATACAGGCACTGAAAATGGCCGCCGTATGGAGGATCTTCACTGGACGAGCAGGTATTCAGCCCATTGGAACACATTGAACCGGTTTTCAATGCGTTTCAATTGGGTTTTTTATTTTGCTTGATGATGTTTTCGCTCTGCAGCGATTTCACTGGAACGAATTGACATCGTCAAGTGAGGCACCACTGTAATTCTCTTTGCCCTAGACCCAACTTTGGGTCCCCAAATGTTCTTGGACTATAGCTCTCAGAAATCCTGGCCAGCCCAGCTAGTGATGAAGGCTTCTGGGGGTTTTAGTCCAAGAACATCTGGGGACCCAAATTCAGGAATCACTGCTCTAGAGCAGTGGTCCCCAAACTTGGGCCTCCAGCGATTTCGCTGGAATGAATTAACATCATCAAGTGAGGCATCACTGTAATTCTCTTTGCTCTAGACCCAACTTTGGGTCCCCAAATGTTCTTGGACTATAGCTCTCAGAAATCCTGGCCAGCCCAGCTAGTGATGAAGGCTTCTGGGGGTTTTAGTCCAAGAACATCTGGGGACCCAAATTCAGGAACCACTTCAAACCTGGACAATATTGAGTCAGATGGGCATTTGGGCTAATTTAAGGAACATTGATTCTCTTTGCTCTAGACCCAACTTTGGGTCCCCAAATGTTCTTGGACTATAGCTCTCAGAAATCCTGGCCAGCCCAGCTAGTGATGAAGGCTTCTGGGGGTTTTAGTCCAAGAACATCTGGGGACCCAAATTCAGGAACCACTTCAAACCTGGACAATATTGAGTCAGATGGGCATTTGGGCTAATTTAAGGAACATTGCCTTCCTAACAGTTGGGCTTCAACTCTTATGACTAGAATGGACGGATAGGCACTTCAGCCACAGATTACGATAAATTTCCCAACAGTGAGAGTAATTTAGGAGTTAAAAAAACACCAAACCTGTGGGCTGTCCTTCATTAGATGCATTTAAGCAGAAACTGGAATGCCACCTTGTACCTGCACTATAGAATTTGCACTAAGCAGGGAACAGAGAGATCTCCAAGATTCTGTCCGACTTCACAACTGGACAATATTGAGTCAGACGGGCATTTGGGCTAATTTAAGGAATGTTGCCTTCCTAACAGTTGGGCTTCAACTCTTAGAAGCCTCTGTGCAGCCAATGGTCAAGGGCTATGGAAGTGGGAGTCCAAACATCTGGAGGGCCGAAGCCTTCTTCCTTTGCAGGAGAGACAGGCATCCAAGAGCCACCGGTCATACTCAAGCTCACTGGTTCTTAACCTTGGGTTACTCAGGAGTTTTGGACTGCAACTCCCAGAAGCCTTCACCACCAACTGTGCTGGCTGGGGTTTCTGGGAGTTGCAGTTCAAAAACATCCCAGTAACAAAGGTTAAGAACTGCTCAAGCACATCCACACATCTGGAACCCGGGGTGAAGAAGGAGAGCTGCAATCAGTGACTTTCTCTGCCCTTTCTGGGAGGGTGCCCGATACGTACCACCTTTGCGGCCAGACTGCATCATCATACGTCGCCGGACTGTATCAAAGGGATAAGAGGTCAGGCCAGCGACAGCAGTGACCGTCTGAGCAATCATCCAGCTGATCAAGATGTGGGTGTTCTTTGGATCAGGAAGCATTCCTGAGAAGAGGAAGAAATTGGAAAAGGGGTCACCAACCTTTTCTGAAACATCAATGCTAGAGAGCACAGAAAAGTTGATTTCTAGAGCTCAGAGAATCCATTCTCAAGCCAGCTTGGCCTTGCCAGCTGGGGATTCTGGAAACAGCAGACCCCCAAAAAAGTAACTTTTGCAAGCTCTGTGTCAATCGCAGGGAATCGGTGCAAGTTCTGAGCAGTTAGCGAGTGAGCCGGCTCTGCTGTTTCTAGTCCAGCTTTGCCGAAAGAATTGAAACTTTGGAGTCAAAACCACATGAAATCTTACCTTTTGCTGTATCATAGATGCCAAAGTAAGCTGCTCTGTAGATGATGATGCCCTGCACAGAGACGTTGAAGCCTTGGTACAGCCCCCGGAGGCCATCCGACTTGAAGATTTTGACCAAGCAGTCTCCGAGCCCCTTGAACTCGCGTTCAGCTCCTGCTTTCCCTACGTCGGCCGCCAGACGTGTTCGGGCAAAATCGAGAGGGTAGACGAAGCAGAGAGAGGTGGCCCCGGCCGCCCCGCCGGAAGCCAAGTTGCCAGCAAAGTAACGCCAGAATTGGGTTCTTTTGTCAACACCACCCAAGAAGATCTGCTTGTATTTGTCTTTGAAAGCAAAGTTCAGGGCTTGGGTAGGGAAGTATCTGATCACGTTGGCCAAATTCCCACGCCAAAACGACAGAAAGCCCTGCTCCTTAGGGATCCGGACGACGCAGTCTATGATGCCCTTGTACTGCTTTTCCGCCGTGATTTGCATGCTGGCATGTTGCACCTGACAAGGGGGGAAAGAGGGGCAATTGGATTGCTGTTTGGCTAGGTGATCGGATTATATGCAAGATCTGTGGTTAACCTCCAGCTGAATCAAAGTGTGGAAAGTTATGTTTTCAAATAATTCACCCATGGCCATTAAAAGTGCTGCTAGAAGCCACTCTTTACACTACTTGCGATGTTAGTTCAATCTTTTATTTGCTTTTTAAAAAAGTTTACTCTGTTCTCTTTATCAGTCTCAGAATTTTAACAGTTCCACTCAAAATATCTTTAAAAGTATCTGGAAAATGTTACATTAAACCAAGTTGGTTGCTACCATCTGCTATGTTATTTAGAGTAAGTTGCTCCTACTTTTAACTGTTACTTACTGCCAAGTTTTGGGGAGGCGGGGGGGCAGACACAAGACATATAGAAGATACGTTAGAAAGATCAAGTTATTACAAAGCCTATAAATCATGCTTTGACTCTCAGATGTCCAGTCAAACCACCACATGGCTACACTCTTGAGACTGAGGGTTCTTCTTGATTCCTTTCCTTCTGGTCCTGCTCAATGGGAAGGAGCCCCCCAATGACCCCCTTTGTCCATCGTGCACAGAGGATGATGGAAGAATGGCTGCTTTCTTACCTATCTTTGAAACTGTATTAATTTGCAGCACGAGAGAAAGAGCCATGACTACCTTGAACTGCTAAATTAGACTTTAGAGGACAATGCCAAACCTTTAGGGAGAAATTAAGATTTACAGGATTTTAAAAAGGCAGATTTTTAAAAGACCCCTCAGTCCTGGCAAGAGGCCCGTTCCCTAAGCAGGTTCCAATTTATTTGGCTTCCTGCAAGAGGACTACGTAATATTTGTAAGTCACCCACCGGCTGATAAGCGAATCATTGCAAGGTGACCTTCCTTTCAAGAGGTTGTGTCCACATCAGAGTTTAAGAAAGTTACTTTCTTGGAAGAATTACAACTCCCAGACACACACACACCTCACGATCTGGGTCCATGGCCAAGCTGGCGGGAGGGGGAGGAGCGTGTAGTCATAAAGGGAAATTCCCCAAGCCCTTGATCCTGATCACTGCGGACTCCAGACTTTGTATGACCTCAAGGTGTCCAATGACGTCCCGATGTGACCCCCTCTGCCCGGCTTCTTGGGCAACACATGACCTACTAGGAGCTCTCCAGACCTGTTGATGGCCGCTTCTCGTAGATATCTCGTTTGCCACCGTGGCTGATCTGTTTATTATTGACTTCAAATATTCTGGCCCTGCCTTTCTCCCCAGAAGGACCCAAGAGGGGACTACATAGCTTCTGGTCTGCTCCCACCTGGTTATTCTTTTATGTTCCAGGGGCTGAGCCCTCGTGACCTTGGCAGGCCCTTCCAGGCAACCAGGGCCTGTGCCCTCGTGATGACCCCTTCATTCACCCTTGCCTCGCCCACCACAAATCTCCAGCAGACCAAGCCCTGGATGAACTTGCCTCCCGCCCATCACAGACCTCCCACCCCATCTGGCCAGGGCCCTGCCCTCAGTACCACCACCTTCGGTTCCTCACTAGCTTTCCAATCCACCTTCAAGGTCATCCCCTTCTGGCCTGGTGGGCAGCCTTTCTTGCCCCAGGCTCTTGTTGCAGGAGGGGGTGGCAAAGCCCCTTCGCTACCTGGAGAACCCGGGTTCAACCCCCAGCGTCTCCAGGCGGAGCTAGAAGAGCGCCCCCCCCCAGCCTGCAACCTTGGACAGCTATTGCTGTCCTCGGTCCCTGCCTGTTATTCCAGCCGTGTCCGACTAGGATCCCCGTTTGGGCTCAGCGCAAAACGCCGCTCTCCGCTTTGCGCATCCGGCCAGGCGTCTCCCAAGGCCGGCCCTGTCCTTCCTCCCTCTTCCTCTTCTCCTCCTCCTCCTCTCCGACAACCGTCTTGCGGGACGGGGAGGGCCAAAAGGCCCCGCCTCCGAGCCTCCTCTCGCTTCTGGCTGCCAAGCCGGCCCCGGGGAAGAAGAAGAAGCGGCGGCGGCGGCGGGCCGGGTTCTGTAACTGAAACCTAAGATTTAATTAGCTTCTTTAGCAGCCACATTGCACTGCTGACTCATAATCAACCATGATGCCTACGCAAAGAATTAGCTAGTGTGAGAAACTGTGGATACTGATGAAAAGTATTTGTAAATCCCTTTCATTAGAATCATGTTTTTAAAACAATGTGTATATTGGATCTTACTGAAACAATGCTTTATGGCAAGATTTTTCAGCATTACTGAGTTGAAGGAATTTAGAGCTTTTCCAAATGGAATATTTGTTCTCCATGATGTGTCTGAGATGTCCCTAATGAGATCTGTTTTCCTCCAACTGTCCATATGGTATAAAGTTTGGCTCACTAACAACAATGACATGATCCTTGGCCTTCTGTGCTTTTTGCATCTCCTAAGACGGCATGGTTTATTTTTTATTTTGGTTCATTTTGGGGGAGAGGGAGGGTTTAGCACTATGGAGCTTCCCAAGAGAAGTTCTTTTCCCAGCCACAGAACCCAGGTCAGAAGCTTTCATTAATTTTATTGTAAATATTCTGCCCTTCTTCCCCCTGCCAAAAACAAAATAAATACTCTAGAAGGGATGTGCCAGCAGAAATAGCCCATGTGTGGCAGGGAAGAGTGAAATGATCATGGGATGCTGAGGTCTGTTCATGGGAAGGAAGAATGAAAAGAAGAGAACAGGAGAGTAAGATAGGTAGAGGATTGTAGTGAGCCCTACAAAGAAAGAACAACAAGAAAGTGAGGCAGGACCTGCAGACAGGTAAAAAGCAGTGGCATCCAGCAGAGAAGACAGGAAGCCAACAAAAGCAGCTGGGAACAAGCAAATCCCAATAAATTCCAGAATTCCTTGACATGAAGGACAAACCGTGGCTGACATCCTATTGCATAGTTACACATACTTATCTCGACATTACATACACAGTAACTCCAATTACACCAAGGCAGAAGTGCTGTTCATGAAGTGCTTCCACAGGTGTATTGTGCAATTGAAGCGACCGGGGCGAGGGGGACGGCCGGCTCGCGCAGAGAGAGAGAGCGAGAGAGCGAAAGGGAGAACGGCTGAAATGGCCGGCTTTTATCCTCCTCGCGGGCTTTAACGTGAGAACGGAGGGAGGGAGAGGACGCGGGGATCTACGCACGGCCACTTCCCATGGCCCTGATAGGCTGCGAGCGCGGGGGAGGGACCGGGGATCTGGAAAGGCAGAGAGAGAGAGAGAACTGCAGTGG